AGTCTCTTGAGGCCCCTTCGCTAGTTGCAAGCTATTTGTGTGATGCGGAAGCTGCTGCTAGACCCCGAGTATATTTGGTCAGCCAACAATGTCCTCCCAGACAGGCTTTCACGTACATAGACTTTGAAGGACTACCAGCTAAATCAGCTCATATTCTAGGCAGTCGTCAGCCGCTTCGGGGCCTGTTTAGTGGACTGCTTTGCACCCGCCCGTAATGCCCTTTGCGAGGCCTACAACAATCAACATTGGGATGTGGATACGTCTGGTGATAGCGAACGAATTGCGCCTAGCGGGATTCGACCCCGCCTCCCTTGAACAAGGGAAAAGCGAATCACCCACTAATACAAAGCCTTCAGGCAATGTATAGTGGTGAGCACCCTATTTAAACCCTTGTAGTGACTTGGCCGCTCTCCCATTCTCTCTCCTCGCCGTATCATCTCTACCAACCCCGGCGAGTGGCGTCCTCGTCACTCCGAATTCTCTCCCCGCCTCAAGCCCTACTTTAGCCCTTCACTTCGGCCGGCTTGACTAAGCCCATGACTCATCCTTTTATGGCGCCTTGATCCCGGCGGATGTCCCTCGGCCCTCACTCTCTCTTGGGGCGCTCGAACTCCGACCCACGGCGATCCGGCCCATTTTCTTGATGAATCACCTCCGGGGACGGGTTTGGCTCCGAAACCATTGATAGCGAACGAATTGCGCCTAGCGGGATTCGACCCCGCCTCCCTTGAACAAGGGAAAAGCGAATCACCCATTAATACAAAGCCTTCAGGCAATGTATAGTGGTGAGCACCCTATTTAAACCCTTGTAGTGACTTGGCCGCTCTCCCATTCTCTCTCCTCGCCGTATCATCTGGCGTTGACGCCTTTGCGCAGAACTGGACGGGGACGCGCAGTGGATGCAATCCCCCATGGAGCCTCCTTGCGAAGCTTGTTGCATTCCTCGACTCGAGGCCGCAGCTGGAGGCGGTGGTGCTCACGCCGGACTGGCCGAGCGCAGTTTGGTTTCCACGGCTCTGGGCAATGGCGCGGGATGAGATCTTCATTCCCCACCAGCCCAGCCTCTTTTTCCCCGGGGATCCGAGCCTCCCAACCTCCCTTCCTCTGCCGTGCTGGAATTTGCGCGCCTTCCATGTGGCGCCGAGGATGCACCGGCCGGCAATGAGGAACTTGCCGGCGACGACGCTCTGAGTGAACCGGAGGCTTTGGCTGCTCCCGCTGGCGAGCCTCCATCGGACCCGTTCCCCTTGGACCCGGTCCCCGAGGACCATCCTCTCTACAACACCAAGATCAACAGTTTACTGGCCAAGGACTGCAGCTGGATGGCGCAACAATTCCTCGCCTCCTACACGGAGGCCACCCGGCGGACCATGTAGGCGAAGTTTCTTTGCTTCAAATCCTTTTGTGAGGAGCACGCCTTGCAGCCGCTGCCCGCTCGCCACGCCACCATCTACCGTTACATTCGGTTCCTACGCGAGGAGGGCAAGGTTGTGACGTGGCTGCTTGGGGTTTAGGCTTATTTAACATTTCTGAAGTGGAAATTACGTAATTGGGTAAATTTTTAAATTTAAATTCTGGGAGTGTTGTTTAGAGCTTCTTGGTTCTAACGCGCCCTTAAACGCCCAAATCCGTTAAGAAACGGCGAAGATATGGCCTTCTGAAGTTGTAGTACTTCGGGCCAAGGGGTCGAGGGTTAGATGCTTGGAATTAGAGGACAATGGGTCGATTGTAGATGAATGGTGGACGTTGACGATGTGCCTGGACGCGCATTTGACTTCTCTTGTCCTGATGTGACTGCGATGGACCCGCGATCGGGCATCGCGCATGCGACATTGTGCGCGCGCATGCAATGAATCCATGTAACCGTTCTGGCCCACTCTCTGGCCTCCCGCGAGCCAACGAACCACCGCCGCGCTGCGCCGCCACCTCTCGCCGACAGCAGGCCCTGGGGATCGATCCCCATCGAGCATTGGGCCCACCGCGCGACCGCCGATATGTCTGCCCCGGAAACGCCAACCATCCGAGGTGAAGAGGCCAGCAGACCTCCAACGGCTGAGCTGCAGGGCAGGGCGACCCCAGAGCCTCCGGAAACCAGCGGCTGCCGACGGGCCGCAACAAAGGTGGGCGTTCGAACTTTGCTGCAGTATCTTGCGACCATTTCCATGGTGCACCACATGTCCGGGCACCTTGGCTTTTCGGCATTGGCCCCGGTTACCCGTGTCCTCACCCGCGCATGGCGCTGGGCTATGCAGGCCCCCATGCAACATCACCGCCCTGTGCCCATCGAGGTGATGATTCGCATCTTCGACGTGGTTTTGATCACGGAGGACAGGGCCTTCCTTTGGGTGGCGTGCGCGGCATACATCGATTGCATCTTTTTCAATCGGGCGCAGTCGGGCCACTTTGTTTTGATGGAGGACATTCGGGTGGATGCCGGCATCGTTTTTTTCATGAGCGCAAGACCAAGCTGCACAAGGATGCGGCCCCCCGCTTGTGATTCCGGTCCTGGCCATCCCAAGGCACCCTAGAGGTTGTTGAGCTCATTCTTTGCTGGACGGCTTTCCGCGACCGTGCCTGGGCGCAGACGGACCAGGCGCCCCGCCATTTCTATCGACTTCCTGGCGAGGCCTCCCCCAGCTCCAAGACAGTGGCCACTTGGCTTTCAGACTTGCTCGCCCACCACCCGAACATCGCCCAGGAACCTTACACGCACCACGGACTCCGCGGCCGGGGCGCGTCCAGTTGTTTTGCTTTGGAGGTCGCTGAATGGCGCATTCGTGACTGGGGTGGGTGGAAGTCGGACTCCATATGGTCGTACGTGGACATTTTTCGTTTACCCACTGAGTGGGACTTTCGTTTATTCGGGTGGATGACTATCACCGCCCGCGACCTCCACGCCCAGTTTGGGCACATTTTCTGCCCCGGAGGTGCCTCTCGTGCCCTTGGAGAGTGAATGGGCAAACTGTTATGTAAGGGGACCTCAGGTATGTGGAGTTATTAGTAACGTACACTTTGTTGTAATTGTTGTTGTGTGGGAAACATGACCGGGAGGGTTCAGGAGACCGGTCAGGTGGAAATGCTTTCAACTATATTGTTAATATATTTCCACCCAGGACGATGTTGGGTGGGCTGCGCCGAGATTCGAATCAGTCGCGGTGGTATTCAAACGGGTGTCTGGCCCTTCCTAATACCTTGGGTCAGTCAAAGTACGGAGTGTCCAAGGTGCCGGCAGTTTTGGCGCCCTTAGACTTGGCGGGCTTTGGCGGGGCTGAGCGGGGGCAGCTATTTAGACTCCCCCCTCGGTCCCCCTCCTATCTTGTTTCGCACCCCGCCCTCCCGCCCTAGAGAGTGGAGTTCGGTTGAGTTGTGGGAGATCTAGGGAAGGTGTGGTTGGCAGTACGGGAAAGGGGGCTGACTCAGGGTCCAGTCGCGGGAGAAAGTGAAGTGAAGTATGGGCGAAGGGAAAGGGCAAATTGTTATGTACGGGGACCTCGGGTATGTGGAGTTATTAGTAACGTACACTTTTGTTGTAATGTGTTGTCGTATGGGAAACATGACCGGGAGGGTTCAGGAGACCGGTCAGGTGGAAACTGCCATCCACGCGGCAACGTCACCGCCTCAGGTCGGTAACGTCCCCGCCCATCATCCTTGGGCAAATCGGGCGACGTACCCAGAAGTTGGGCCTCTAGCGGCTACGCTCTGCTATGCTCTGCTGCGCTCTGCTACGCTCTGCTATGATCTTTGTGGCATTTCACTCCGCACGAAGGTTCAAGTACCCGAGTTGACTCAGCTACCACAAGGGGCTTTGTTCACCGTGAACAGCGGACAACGTCCCTACCAGGCTTCACATGCACTGGCTGGGGCACGAAACTTCTTCCCCTTTCACAATTTCGCAATGAGTGACAGCGCACAAACTGTTGTTAACAGTCTGCGTGCTGTACATGCCCACATGTGCGCAGATGCAATAGCGCTTGCCGGCCCGGCCACCCTTATGAAGTAGGATCACGCACACCTAAACTCTAGCAGCATCTCCTTGCCGGGTTGCCAATAGACTAGTCCCAAACTAAAGGCCAGCCATTGCAAGCCTCCCCTCCTCCCCACAAAAATGAAAAGAAAAAAGAAAAGGGAAGACAAAAAAATATCCATCCACAAACCCAGACCCCACATTGCCCGTAGCTGACCACAGTGCTTTCCCCTTTACAGCCCAACACCAGAACATTGCTTCAGATAATAGCCAGAGCGCGGTGGAAGGCAGGTGGACAAGCAAGTAGACAAAGCGAACATTGCGAACCTCATCCCACAGCAAGGTGCAGACATTCGCAACGCAACAATCGGCGCACAGACTACTTCTGTCTGGGAGCTCCGGGCGCAAATCATCCATCCTAGCAGCGCTGCCAAGCTTTCCGTGTTTCCATCTACTGCCCCCGCTTCGTTTGGCTGTCACCATCATGCCACCCAGGCTGTCCACATGCAAATTAGGAGCCTCACTACTCTTACAGCAAGTAAGCGACGCACTAGGCATCGCTGCCTGTTCGTTGCCAATCGACGAGCGAATGGCGGCTTATTGCCGCTTCCTCACCACCGCACTCCTTGCAAGGCATGCAAGATTTCCACCGAGCTTGCAATGCTGCTGTTATTGTCCAGTGCAAAAGCCTGAAGGCATTTAAAATCAAAACTTTCTGCCGTGATGCCAGGAGCACAACCCAAAGTCATCAAACGTCAAGAAGACAAGGAATCCACCAGCTTTGCGTGAACTGTCCAAGCGTGCAAGGCAGAAGCCGCAAGGTTGTCCTGTTGGAAACATGACCAATCTCCAGTGAAGAATATCCACTTCTATCGATGAGAAGATTCCTAATGATCTCGCGATCCTCTCTGCACAGCCGATATTCCAGCTAAATGCTATGGAGTCGCCAACGGGCACCGCTCTCGCCATGATCTCATTCCTCCGGCGACGGTTCCCACCTCTCAACCGCATGCTTCTTTACACCCGCAATAATTTACAGCAACTATAGCTTGCAAAACCACTGTGGAAAACACCCCTCGGAGCGTCAAAAGACGCTGGAGCCTCTCTGCCTATCCGTGGGCTCTGCGTAAGGAGGGCTGCTGCCCAGAGGCCCCCGCGCGCCGGCGCCATCTTGCTGCCTTGAGTTTAGGAGTGAAGGGGGATGGGGCTGGCATTTGCAGACCTTGCAAAATCCACCGCCCAGCGTCAAATTCCTGCTCCAAAAATCATCGCCCACCACGTATCCCGCACGTTAAACCCAAGTGCTGCTCTCAGTAGCCGCCGCCCATCCGTGTGCCCCGGTCGCGGACATCGCCCGTTGAGACGGTGGCTCCGCTGAGCGTGGTGGAGCCGTGGCTGGCGGTCATGCGTTGGTTGTTGCCCAGCACCATCTTGACACCATCTGACAGCAAGAAAGAGAAACGGGTCAGGCAAGGATACTTCTCTTGATGTATTATCATTGACAGCCACTTATTGGAACTGGGAGATAATCGATTCATAGACATTGTTTGTGTTTAACATTTGATTTCAATGAACTGATCATAGACACTGCTTTGCTCGGGCAAAATAGGAAGCTGACGGCCACCTCGTTGCCTTGTTCTGTAAAAAATGATGATGGTGATGATGGTGAAATGGATCAGGCTGGATTCCGGTTGATCGTCATCATTGCGAGCACAGAAAAGAAGTGCATAAGACGCTATGTGAGACATGGCGTGTTTATGCTGATAACATATTTATGCTGATAACATATTTATGGTGAACATGGTGTCAATTATGGAACTGTGCATGGGGAGCATGGAGACACGGAATGGGCACGCTTGCAGAGGAAACAATTTGACTGGTGCACTCGTGCTTGCTTCCCGTGCCTGGGAGCGATCGTGTGAAGACCCTCGGTTTCTGTATCAATCGTCATCATGAAAATTTACATGGCAAGGCAAGGGGATGGCCTTCGTTCTGGTTGACCATCAGGTCACAAGCTTTGGCACTCATCAAACAATTCATTGTCGATGTTCACCAACGCTGCTTTGGGAGAATAGTGTGCCAACTCCTGCACTGGTGTGCACTGTTGATTGATTGAGTAAAGGTGCAAGAGAAGGGTGGAATTCACCCATAGTAGCACTTGAGTCGCTTAACGGACAGTCCGCAGCATTACACCCTCTCCCCGCCCTCCCCCAAGAAAACAAGGAAAAACAAAAACTGGCACTGAACACTTTATGGCTTCGTGTCACTTGTGTCGCAACAAAATTGCTATTGGAGCAACACTTCCAGGATGACTAATGCACAGAGGAAACTTGCTCGGTCTGTACTCCCAAAGCGTAGCACTGTTCACACATTGGTTGGCTTTGTTGCCCACTAGCAGGAGCATATATTGCCCTGTCTTGTTAAAAACTTTTCCAACGGAGGATTTGGGCGAAGGTCTTTTCCAATGGAGAATTTGGGCTTATAGGGCACTGTGAACACTCAAAGGACAGGGAAGTGATTGGTGCCACAACTTCGCCCAAGTGGACGTAGTGAGAAGCTAAGGCACACACCTTTGTCATCCTCCACCTGGAACCTGGGACCACCAGAATGCTGTGACACATCCAGACCAGTTATCTCCTGATCCTGGGGGACACGAAGGATACCGAAATATCGCAAGACCAGGAACATGATGAGGCTGATGCTGATGGACCACACACCAATGGCGAGTATCCCGAGGGTCTGTGCACCCAGTTGCCTGCCGTCGCCACCATACAGAACGCCTGCCTCACTTCGGCTCTTCAGCCGGTCAACTGCAGGACAGGTGTGAGCATGCCAGGTCAGTGATGCAGATGGTCAGTGGTGGCAATCCATTCAGCAAAATTTGAACGTTACAAACGCTACCCCTGCATCTATAAAGCGGCAGCTGGGAGATTGACAGGCGATGAGGGTTAGATGCAGCCCATTGTGGGGACAGACTACGACCCTGTTTGCTCTCTTCCGATGTTTCCATCCCAGTATAAAATCACACGCCAATGCTGATGTGCACCGTTACTGGACTTGCAAAAGACTCTCTATCTTCACAAATGCATGCCAGTCTCTGGAGCACCCACAGTCAACCAATCCATAACCACTCCGATAGTCTGATGATCAAACCTCCCACTGTGTGGCAGCGCAAACTGCTATGGAATGGCCGATCAGATTGCTGTTCCGTAGTGCTGCAGGCACCCCTTCCATCACAGGGTCAATGGTCCAACACTTATGCGCAGCACCACATTCGCATGTTCCTTGATTAGTAACTAATTGGTGAATTCCTTCATCAGCTATTTGTATACTTGCTTTTTTAATAAATTACTATATTTACTCCAGTATTTTGTTACTTACTTAAGCAGCTAATCAACTGCCCAACTTTGATTATCTAAGCAAACAAATAGCCAACCACGGCACCACATGTGTCCCAATATCGCGCACCTCCATAGGAATTGTGCAAATTGGCGGGAGTGGCAAACAGCCCCACTGCAAACACTCCCCACATCCCACAGAAGAAGTGGACAGGGGAGGCATCCAGAGGGTCGTCGATTCTCAGCTTCAGGAGGGATGCAGAGGACGCTTTATACACCACGCCGCCTATCATGCCGATGACCACAGATGCGTAGGGCTCCACCACAGAGCAGCCTGCGGTGATGGACACCAGGCCAGCCAGGATTCCTGTGAAACACGTCAGTCACACCTTTCAACGGTCACCAGGCATTCTTATGTGGCTCCTGTGGGTGCCCACCATGCACACATGCAGTGATAATGTGGAAGACAGCAAGTCCGCATATATTGTATGCATCAGCACTTCAGTTTACCAGCCTAGTCATTTTATTGAAAACAGACAAAAGGTACCTCTATTGCAACCAACAGCAGCATTTAGATACCAAAGCGTCAGCAAAACGCTAAAATTCCAATCTAAACCAAAGATTTGCAGCCAAAAGCCCAAGACGTCACAATGCGCCGCCCCGCAATAAACAGCTGCTGACACCTCAAAATGAAGCAACACCTTGGAATAACAATGCAAACAGCACACTGAAATTTGACCAACATCTTGGCACACAACGAAACAGAAATACAAACAAAACTGACAGGGCGACGACAGATCGCTCAGTTCCCTAAGGCCGCCCACCATTGAGGGCCGGCGTGATGTCCGGCGCGCCCTCCAAGAAGATGTGCATCGTCAGCACCGTAGCGCACCCCGCCGACGCCGCCAGGGTGGTCGTCACGGCGCACTTGGACGCCACGTACATGCTATTGTAGAACGCGGCCGTGGACACGGGGTTGAAGCCGTACCAGCCGAACCACAGGATGAAGACGCCCAGGGTGGCCAGCGCCACGGACTGGCCGGGCAGGCCTATGGGCTTGCCCTCGGCGCTGAAGCGCCCGTAGCGCGCCTCCAAGACGGTGGCCGCCATCAGGGCCGCGCCGCCGCCCGTCATGTGGACCACGCCGCTGCCGGCGAAGTCGATGAAGCCCACGGTGTGGCTGAGGAAGACATCCGGCTCGCCGTTTTCGTCGACCCTGGGGGAGAGACATTCCCATCAAGTCGGGATTCCTTTCATACAAAGATTTCGACTTCACAAGTTACGCCCAATCCGTGGTATGTCCCACTTTTCTTAGCCGCTCAAGGCAACCAATGTATAATAGCCAGGCCTGGGGGGAGCAACGGCCGTTTACCGTGTGCCTGGGACGGATGGAACTGTGTTGTTATCGTATGACTGTGATGGATAGCGGTGTTGCTGCCGCGAGACGGTGAAGGACAACGGCGTTGGTGCCAAGAGGCTGTCCCGCGTCGAGGATGTTGACTGAAAGTTCACGAGGCGTGATTTTTCGCTGGTGCAGCTGCGCAGCTGGGCATGGGCAAGCGCGGGCAGCCCCGAGGCAAAGGAAAGGAGAAACGACGGGCGGTGAGCGCGCACAGGCAGCGTGTACAGTGGCATGAATGTTGCAGGGCACCATTCGGTCCTGAGCAGACAATCTGCATGATTTCGCACTGCTGTTGACAGAATTACAAGGATTAACTCCAATTTGACCACTATGCGAGCATCACTCCCCGGCAGTGGCAAGGTGAAGGGAAGTTAACCTGCTGGTGGGCCATGGTCCTCTCAGACATAGAACACAATGAGGCCGCCCACATGAATATTTGCCAACTTCCACCATGCCTTCTGTCATTCTCCAGATAACGTTCACATGGAAAAACATCAGTTCAAACATGCAGCTCTTTGTAACATATGCATTACAGGGTTTAAGCTTCTGCTCTCAGTTCAGTTCAGGACTTGGTGCCTGGCATCCTTTTGCGATCGTGATGGTTGGGACTGACATGCTCACACACTCTGTTGTACTGTTCCATGCACTGATCACCAGGTGTGCAATGCAAGACCTCATTTTCTTTTGATCCAAGCAGCATGCAAGGAACATTCAGTTCTGCAAACAATGCTTCAAACAGGCTGTGCCAGCGAAGGTCAGGTGTCCTCAGTAGACTGACTCTCATTGGGGCAACTCAGCAAAGCACTCTGGCTACACACCTGAAGGGAGACAGCCATCCCTCTGCTGACCACGCCCAGTGCACAACAACCGGGTAGACAAGCCCCGTCAACACGATGGTGTAGATGACATAAGCTCTAAACTGGCAGCGCTCTGCTACAGCGCCAGACACTATGGTGGTGGCGGTCGTTGCAAATGCCCAGCTGAACAGCCAGAGGGCGAAATACTTGTTGGCATTGTTGAAATCCACCTCGTTCTCCCGTGGGGAGACGTCGTCGCTGTTGCTCATAAAAAAATTCTGCAGGAAGGTGGCACAGAGTTGATAAATCCGGCTGGACATGTCGATGGGACAACACACTCCCAGGAACCTAAGACACATGAAACCTCCAACGACAAAAGCTGTATCTTCGACAGAAATGGAGCACTGGGTACAACGGGCCAAACCCCTTGCAGCATTTTTCATCTGCTACAATGGCCAAAGACGTGACAAAGCG